CACGCTTATTCTACGCTCAAGGGTAAGTTGTCGAAATCAGGTACAACAGATATGTACCCCGCATACAAAGGGGGTATCGTATACACAAAGTGACCAGACAATGTATACAAAGTGTAACCCTAACGCTCTAACACTAACCCATACCCTAACCCATAACCCTTATTAACAATAATCACATAAAAATATAAAGCGTAATAAAACAACCTAAAAACTACCTCGGTACCATATCTATAGTAGCCTGAACGACACCGACCTCCATCTGCATTAGTACTTGTTATACTAGTAACTTTAGTATACCTTTACTGTTTAGTACTATACAGTAACCTTTAGCATCGAGCTGTCCCAGCAATATGTGGACCGGTGATCCCCACTGGCAGCAAGAACAATCGCACCTGCAGCTACAGCAACACGCATCTATTGACTATATAAACAACATGGTGGACTAACTCGCCGCCGCACTTCCACTACTCACCGTTAAATCAGTTACAACTACGGTTCCGCAGGTTACGCCACTTTCCACTATCGTTGGAATGCAGAAGCACTGCTTAACAACTAACACCCGCCATCTCTGACAAATCGACCCGCCAGAAGCCCTCAAATACAGAATTCTCAATATCTATGCATACGATCCTTGCGAATGCTACCGAGGTAAAAAGGCGGCAGCCCACACAGCGCTGCGCTGATTTGGCTGCAGCAACCGTCAGCACATTAAACTTCTGCAGCCAATCAGCGCAAGCCCTGTAATTGGCCTGCCATTTTTACCTGGTAGCATCGAAGAACGTGTATTATTGTGTAATAAGATCACACGCTAGCTTTAACAGTCTCTTCCGCGATTCAACGATATTGGAAATGGAGTCACCTGCAGAACATCGGATTAACTGATTGAAACGGTGATTGGAAATGAGCGCGAATTAGGCACCATGTTGTATAGTATATAGTCAATAGATCATGTTTCTGTAGCTGCAGGTGACGACTTGTTCTCACCTACATCCGATGCCCGACCAACTGTATGCCGGCCTAAGAGTCCCGAAGTGAATACGTCACGATTGGCATGGCAACGAGCCTGCTGGTTCTACACAATATCGCGCTGGTTAACATAACTGCGTGTCGTGTTTTGACCCCGATGTAACCCCTCATCACTGAGAGCATTTTGCAGTTAGTTATAGATTCCAAAGGATGGAATGAAAAAGCACGGGGGGAAAAAATTAACAAAAAATTTTTTTATTTTTTTCTGATTTTTTTTTTTTCATTCATTAAATATGTAAGATCGACTCTGCTACCGATGCTTTACCGGGTCTGCAGCGCACACACCTCGGGTTCTTACGTACGCACAAACATTTCACAAGCTAATGCTACACTATTGACCAAAGTGCTGTGTAGAACCAGCCGCGTACTTTGACTGCACCACGTGACGTCAACATTCGTCCTATAGTACTACTAAAGCTAGGTCAGAATAGTTAGAACTATAACCCCCGCATCGATCGCTGCCCGCTCCTGCGCGGAGCTCGGGGGAGCTATAGTCTAAGAGCTAGTCAGAATGTGCATGTATTCTGACCACGATGAG